CACTGGGTCCCCTCGCTTCACGCAGGCTGTTTCAGAGCGCGACCCAGCACAAACTGCGCCCCCGCGATGCAGCGTGGGCCGCCTTCCATGACCATTCTGCTAGCCGTCCTATGTGCTAAAGACAACATTGGATTGGTTGAAATGGTGTCATTCCAAACGATTGATTGGTCCATTCATGCTGGTTTTTATTAAAAGGTGCATACATTCCTCCAAAGAATGTTTTAAAATTCAGCGAGACGTTCCCATGCGGCATCCAACCAAACTCGAAATCGCGACAGCAGCACGATGAGCCTCAACCCGAACGCCAAGGCGTTCACGTTCAACCCGGCTGCTTCGTCATGGACGCCGCCGGTGCCTTCGCAAATCCTCCCCAAGCCGAAGCCTGCTCCAGCTCCGCCTGCACCTCCTGTCGCGGCCCCGCCCGCTCCGGCTGTTGTGTCGCCCAAACAAGCCGCTCCGGCCGCCACGCCTGTCGTCGAAGAGAAGAAACCCCCTGCTCCTGTCGCTGCTCCCGCGCCCGTGGAAGATGCTGTTGCAGATGACGACTTTGAACCGTTGACCGACGAAGAAATTGGGGAAGAAGATCCCCGCGAACACATCAACGTTGTCTTGATCGGCCACGTCGATGCCGGCAAGTCGACTTTGTCCGGAAACATCTTGTACCTGATGGACCAAGTGGACAAGCGAACGATCGAACGCTTTGAAAAGGAAGCGAAGGCGCGCAACCGCGACTCTTGGTACACCTTGTCGACGCCCTGTCTTTTCTGCAACTCACGAACGGTAGGTTTCTCGCGTTTATCATGGACACGGGCGAAGAAGAACGAGCCAAGGGTAAGACCGTCGAAGTCGGCCGCGCGCAATTCGACACGCCGAACAAACGCTTCACGATCCTCGACGCGCCCGGCCACAAGAACTACGTACCCAACATGATTCAAGGCGCCGCCCAAGCCGACGTTGGCATCCTTGTCATTTCTGCGCGCAAGGGCGAATTCGAAACGGGATTCGAACGTGGTGGTACGCGTCGTGCTGCATATCTCGTCACGCTGCTTGCCGACGGCTCATGTCCGCTTCCCAGGGCAAACGCGCGAACACGCGATGCTTGCCAAGACGCTCGGCATTAACAAGCTCATCGTTGTCATCAACAAGATGGACGAAGCCAAGTGGGCGAAGGAACGCTTTGATGAGTGCGCAGACAAACTCCGTCCGTTTCTTCGAGTACAACGTCGCTCTCCATCATGACATGCACGTGCGGGCACCACTTGAGCGACGCCGTAGGGTTGCGGATATGCCGTCAAGCGCGACGTGATGTTCATCCCGATCTCGGGCTTGGCCGGCGATAACATCAAGGTCAAGGTGGATTCCGCCAAGGCGGCGTGGTATGAAGGCGAGAGCTTGATCGATACGCTCGACTCGCTCACGATCCCCGGCCGCAATCCTCAAGGCCCTCTCCGAGTCCCCGTCTTGGATCGGTACCAAGAACGCGGCACGATCGTTCTCGGCAAGGTACGTTGACTGTGCGCTGGCGTTGTTTGGAATCGCTCCATGTTGCGTGCAAGTGGCCAAGCCCCTTGAGCGTCGTGCTCCGCACGACGATGGCAGCGCGCGCTGGTGTTTTTTTTGCGCCTTTGTGATGCGTGTGGTTTGCGTTCTGGATGTGGGTGCGCTGGAGCGATGCTTCATTGTCCGCTGACCATGTGCTCGCGGCAGGTCGAGTCGGGGGTGTTGACGACCGGCGCCAAGATCGTTCTCAAGCCGACGAGTTTGCGCACGACGGTGGCCCAAGTCTACATCAACGACAAGCCGGTGCGCACGGCTAAGCCGGGCGAGAACGTCACGATGCGGTTGACGTGCGGGCTGGAGGACGTGACCAAGGGCTTTGTCATTGTGAACCACGCGGAAGCCGACGCCGCCAAGAGCGTGACCAAGATTGTGGCGCAGATCGCGTTTGTGGAGGCGCTCGAGCACCGACCGCTGCTCACGGCGGGGTACAAGGCGATTCTGCATTGCCACACGATTGCGCAAGAGTGCACGATCACCAAGTTGCTGCGACCGATTGATCCCAAGACGGGCGAAGCGCTCAAGAAGAAGGTCATGTTTGCCAAGGCCGGCCAGAGCGTCGTGTGCCGCATCGAAGTGGAGCAGACGGTGTGCGTCGAAACGTTTGATACGCTGCCGCAAATGGGGCGCTTGACGTTGCGAGATGAAGGCAAGACGATTGCCGTCGGCAAGATTCTCAAGCTTGAATCCAAGGCCGAGTAAAGCAACAGGATGGAATCGATGGGATGATGATGATGCGTGGTGGTGGCAGGATTGCAATGATGGTATTAGCTCGCCACGTCGATCTTGTCGTCTGTGACGTTGTCGAAAGACGGGTGGTGGGCATGAACGAGTGTCGCCGCTGCAGGCATGGCTCTTCCGCCTGGATGGCAAGACGCCCTCGTCGTGGCAGACGACAGTCGATGCACACAGGATCAATGTGGCGGGGACGGGGTCACACATTCCAGTGTTCTGTGCAGTTGCTCGGCACGACAAAGTGGAGGACGAGAGATCCATGGCATCGCTTCGTTCTTTGTTCATACTGCCGCTATCCCATCGCGATGCGGCGTTCCACAGGGCGGATGCCGTCCCGTGGTGCCGCGGCCGCGTCAGGGGAGAACCTCTTCAATTCGATACCGTATACGTTGTAACAGGTCGCGACCTTTCAGGCTCGCATTCCAAACTTGGAGAAAATGCTGCCGCCGCACAGCTCGCTCGTCAAGTACGACAGCCCGATCTTGATCAGCACGACCAAGGACAAGAAGGGCGGCCATTCTGGGAAGAAAGGAAAGACCGCCAAGGGAGCCACCGCCGAGTCGCATGTGTCGACCCCGACCAAACAAGCGTCGGGCGGGATTCCATCGATTGCAAACGCGAGCTCGAGCCAAACCGAAGATATCCTCAACTCGATTTTACCTCCCAAGTCGGGCTTCGCACAACTTCATTCTCTACAACCTGATGTCGGGCTCGCTCGTAGGGAATGGACAGAGGATGGCCAGCTGTGGGTCCAGTACGTGAGCAGCACGCCCGCGACTCGGCTGGACGTGATCAACCTTCAGGTTCAGCTCCCTCTCGTCCTACGCGTCGTGGCGTCATGCGACGCCGTAGGAGCAACTCGACATGCGCCTCCAGCAAAAGCAAGCGCGCGAGACGGGGATTTGTCCTGTGCGCGAAGAGCTATACGCGCAGTGCTTTGACGAGTTGATCCGTCAAATTACAATCAACTGCGCCGAACGCGGGCTCTTGCTGCTTCGAGTGCGCGTCGAAATACGCATGACGATTGCTGCGTACCAGACGCTGTACGAAAGCAGCATTGCATTCGGGTACGGCGTGTCCCATCTCGTGGGCTCCTCGACGTGTGGCGCAGGATGCGGAAGGCGCTCATGGCGGAGCAGAAGAAGCTCGACGCCGAGCAAAAGCTCAAGCAGCTCGAGACGGACCGGAACGAGCTCATCGCGCAGGTCGAAGAGTACGTTCGGTCGATGTGTGATGGCATGAACAGACGACGGGTAGGCTTAAACTGCGCTGCGATGCGATTCAAAAACGCGAAGAAGAGAAGCGCTTGTCGGATGAGAAGAAGCACAACGATGAAGTCGACATCCTCAAAAAGGCCAACGACCAGCTCAAGGCCAACCTCGAGAGCCTCCTCTCCGCGCCAAAGTAGAGCGACTCGTGCGATAAACTACGACATGTATAACACGGCGTCGTTGGCGAGCGCCAGCAGCGCGTCGGCCGCCTCAACAACGCGACCCTCCTTTGTCCGGAGCTTGTGCGACTTTTTCATGTTGAGCTTCGCCGCCGCCGCTTGACGCAGCTGCATCCATTGCGCTTCGACGTCCATGCCGCCGGCGAGCACGACCACGACGGTTTTGAGATGCTTGGCCTTGCAGTGGACGCTCGAGAGCGTCAAGCGCAGGGATGGTCGGAGCGCGTCGCAAACGGTCACTCGTTCCATCCCTTGGCACAGCTCAACTGCGACGATCTGGTCGTCGTGGGGGGCGGGCAGCGCGCGAAAACATTCCGTCAGCGCGCGAACGTGCGCTTCCGCCGAGTCTGCGAGCGCACGAAGATGGTAGCCTACGACGCCGACAACGTCTGGCAAGTCGTCGGCATCGGAGCCAACTCACCTCCTTCCAGCACAGACACGATGCGGCCACGGCAAGATGCGCCTGCGATCGCAGCGTCCACCAAACGCGACGTGACCCAGTAAAAGTCGTCGGCCGTGAGGTTCACGTTGGCGAGCGGGTCGTCGCGGTGGGCGTCAAAGCCAGCGCTGATCAAGAGCAGCTCGGGATTGTACGCCAGCAGCTTGGGCTCGACCTAGCCGACCGCGTGAGGACATGCAATTTGTGCATGAAGCAGCATCGTTCGACGCACGTGGTCGACAAACTTGCTTCGAAACGTGGCCGATGATGTCGACTCGTCCATCTCGACATTGCACACATTGCTCGTGTTGTCGGCAGCGATGCCCGTGCCTGGAAAGCAAGGAGGCTTTTGATGCGTCGATATGTACAGCAGCTCGCCCGGTGCTGCTCGCCGCGCTTTGGTGTCGGTGCCGTTGCCGTGGTGCACGTCAAAGTCCACGATGGCCACTCGCCGGACGCCGTGCGCGTGAATGGCATGCATCGCCGCGACGCCGATGTTGTTGAAGAAGCAGAACCCCATTGCTTTGTGAGGTTCGGCGTGATGCCCTGGCGGTCGAACCGCGCAAAATGCATTTGTACATGCTCCGGTCATGACGGCGTCAACGGCAGCACACGCGGCGCCCGCGGCATGCAACGCTGCCTCGCGAGTGTAGCGCATGATGGTCGTGTCGCCATCGATATCTAGGCAAGAGTACTGCTTCAAGACATCTCGCCGCGCAGCTACATGTTACAATCATTGCACGATGACGAGATGAATCGCGCGGCGTACCCGAAGCAGGGCGGGAGTCCGTCGCGAGGCGGTCCAGTTCCTCCATGGAGCGTTCGATTTTGCCGCACCACTTCAACACTGAGTTCACGTGAAGGGGTGTGTGAAACGCGTGGAGTTGCTCTAATGTCGCTTGCGGTGCAGTCGTGACGTGCGGAATCATCGGAAACACATCGACCAAGCGGTCGAGAATGACTTGGACTCTAGCCATCGTCAAAGATCAGCATCCCTGCACCATGGAGAATTCCACCGTTCGGGGCGCTCCGGGTGTCCTTTCACGCGGTGTCGGACGCAGGTGGGATGGCTGTACAAGAAAGTTGACGGCCGAATCGGCGCCAGGCCATTCAGCGACGTGTCGTCTACAGAACGTTGCATGCAGGGTTCAATCGCTGAAATGAATGCCGTCCCCGTGTGCGAGAGAGTGGTGCTGGAGAAGGACGCTTCTGCCGTCGTCGCGGCCGCCGCGCCTCCGTCAACCGCCATGTCGTCGACACACGCGACACAACTTTGTCTATTCTTACGAATCATCCGGATAATGCCCTGAAAACACATCCGGTTATGGCGAATGTGATCCGGATGTGGTATATCCGGATATCTTGAACGGATCCGGATAAAACCGGGAAAATACATCCGGTTATGGCGAATGTGATCCGGATATCTTGATCGCATGGAAACCCGCGGCGATTCCAGAGGGAGATGCGACCTTGTCGCAACTCCTTGGATGAAGGCATGCGCTGTCTGTTGGAAAGGTGTCAAACGCTCGCGCTGTGCCAAGGCAAGATGTGCACGTATACTACCAAACAGCCACGACCGTTCACCGAAGCTCGTCGCGGCAACAGCCATGAACCTTCATTCGGTGCCCAAGTATCCGAGCTCGAAAGATAGACGTCACAGGCGGCGTTCGTGCTTGCCATGCAGAAATCTTGTCGTGGTCGACGGCAAACTTCCCGGTCACCTTTGCGCAGTGGCCGCCGACCGCAACTGAATCGCGGCGTCGACTATTGCCAACAACACTTGGGACATCGATCGGCAGAAAGTGCCACCGCTTTCGGAGGACCAAGTGGTGGCAATGCCGCAGTTCCTCGCTCTCCACTGATGCTCTGTGGACAACCTTTGGCCATGTCTTTACGCGCTCGAACGCCTGGCGAGCCCCACGCCGAGACTCCGAACGACCCATCTTCAAACACGTCCCATTGCGTTCCAAGCGTTTGACGAGGAAGCGTGGGGACATGGAATGCCGTCAGGAAATCGGTTATGCGAGCCGGCTAGGGGCTAAATAACTTTCCATGTTCATTACGGTGAATCAAAACCATTTCATGTCGGCCATGCGGCAACATGCTTTCCCGCGCAATGGCATCAACACCACATGACTTCTCGCTCTTGGAGGGCGGGCGCAGCGCCGTCTCGAGGCAGGTACCGCGGCATGGCCGTCCCATCGACGACGACCTCTTCCTCCAATGCACGCTCGTGCGCCATCCCGCGTTGTTGATGGCGCAATGCCTTGGCTTCGGCGAGTCGCCGCAACTGCTGGCGCTTGCGGCGCGCGCGTTCGCCTTCGTGTTTACGTCGCTTTGCAATGTGCTCGGCCGCGAGCCGCTCTCGCTCGCGTGCTTCGGCTTCTTGGCACGCGCGGGCTTTGTGCGATTGGACTTTGGTTTGTTTGAGGCGGTGGGCATGGACCGCGGCGGCCTTCTCGGCCTGCATTCGCCGCTCTCGGTTCATCTGGTGTTCTTGGCGCTTACGAATGAAGTCCGCTGCGTCGAGAGAATGAGTGGATGGGGCCACTGGCGAAGGCCGTGGGTGAGAGCTCGACTGGTGTGTAGTCGAGGGCGAAACGGGCGGTGGCACGTATATCGTAGGTCGTGGCATCGACGACGGCGAAGCGTGCGAGTGCAGCGGCGCGCGAGCAGCGCAGCACGCAAACTCATGCCGTGGAGAGAGAGGCTCGACGTGGCCTGGTCGGCGCGTGGAGTTGGTCAATGTGATTTTTTCCCGCCGCCGCCGACGCCGCTCCCGCCGTTCTTCTTCGCTGGACGATGCATACGAAAACTTGTTGAAGGTCACGCGATGCCGTCGACCATTCTCGTCGTCCGAGGACGAGTCGGATGAAGCGGCGGATGGGCTTGACTTCTTCGACTTTTTCTGCTTGGCATACCGCGCCGCGGCATCAAAGGCTGACTCGGGAGGATGCAGCCCACCGACAGGCATGACATCTTCTACATTGTCGTCACTGTCGCTGCAGCTTTCAATGACGCGTCGACGATTCTGAAGCTTGGAACGCAGAGGGTCGCGGCGCCGAGAGGACGTAGGACCGAGCGTTGTCGCCAGCGATAGAGAACGGGTCATGCTGTCCGAGTCGTCCGAGTCGGAAAAGGTCAAGTCGATGACCTGGTGCTTCGAGCTCTTCGACGGCGAGACTGATGGCCGCTCCATTCGTACAGGAGCGTCAGTTGATCTGATGAGGCCGTCGCCACTGTCGACTTCACGCGGCGGCGAAGGAGCACGAAAGGAGCTGGGTGGGACTCGAGGAGAAATGGGGTCGCCGTCACCGCGATCGATCATGTAGTCCTTGACGTACTTGACCACACCGTTGAGAAAGCGCACGCAGTATGTGTTCGATGGAGGCGGCACATAGTACAACACGGTACCGGTGATTTCTTCGTTGAGCGGTCCGAAAGGCATGGCGAGCCGTGTACCGACTAGCGGGTGGTTGCAATCTTTTGAGGCGAGGATCGACTTTGGCGGCGCCTGCGACTCGTTGATGAGTTTGAGCACTTCCCCTCGCGAGAGTTCCACGTCAACGTCCGAGCTCATGTGCATGCGAACCTACACATGACACGGGGATCGATGGAAAGGATTCCGCACGACCGGCGTCCTACCTTGAATTTGAATGTCGCTGGGTTATATGAGTAGACAACGCCAGACCTCGGCGTGTCGAAAGTAGTGCCCACAAGGCTTTGATTCAGCTGGTTCCTACGTATGACCTGCATCACCACCATGTCGAGTTGCTCACGAAAGCTCCATTGCGTCATCACGGAGAGGACGCTCGCATGTACCTGGACTTGGGCTGCCGCGCCATCCTGGCCTTCTCCACAACACCTGCGACGCTCCCGCCAAACTGGGACAGTTCGTCCGGATATCCACCATCCGCATGTTTCGGTTCCGAAATCAACCTGAAATTGCACCAACTACGAGGCCAATATTGTCCTGATTTACGTGGTAAAGTCCTAATTGTGCTTGACATCCAATTCCAATGGCCTTGGCAGTCGGTGCAGAGCCCCATGCCCCCCCCGTAAGAGAATCGCCGCGGCAGCTGCAGACCTGGCCAACACAAATCCTCCCAAGCATTCGTTTTCGGCCCATGCCGCTGCACTCTCGAATAGTTCCGACAACATCAAAAATTCCACCGGGGGTAGGGGGGCAATCCCCTCTTGAGATGGAGCCCCGTCCATGCGCCCCCGTCCTCCGCCTCATCCGCCTTGGCAAAGACACAAAGGTGGTGCTGCAGTATCAGCATTGTGGGTGGCTGGTTCGTTGAAGCCCCCCTCGCGTCATGACACGGTGGCGCTGGTCGCATGACGTGGGCGGGAGTGAACCATGTACACACATTCGAGGCGGCGTTGCTTGGGTCACCCGTCCCCGGTGCTGCGGTCCTTTCTTTGTGATATTGCACCCACACACATGCATGGAGTACCCAGTTGCGCAGACACGCCGGTTCTATCGTGGGTCGGGGCAAATGGGGCCATCGAGACGCGAAACATCTTCCGACAAGACCAGATTGCGGCCGACGCCGCTCTCATCCCGGCGTCGCCCTTCGCGGGCATTCCGACAAGATCGCAGCGCTGCATGACGCGTGTGTCGACGACTTGCAAGATTCGTCAGCAATTGCTCCAAATATATGGAGGCGATTCGATATTGAACAATTTCCCAAACGTGCAAATATAGAAACGTCGGCGCACTTTTTGTCGTCGATAATTACATATATAAATATAAATATGTATATATACGAGAGTTGTATGGGACGCGGGCAACTTGGAATAAAAAAGTATGGCGTATTTTATATTCTCGGGTTCAAATGAAGCGCGGGGATTGGTCGAGGGCAACGTGCCGACCACCTTACAAACTTCCAGTCACTTGTGGCGGTTTCCATAAAAAGGGCGTGTCGACACCGCGGTGGGAGACGCGCGCGCGCGCGACGACGAGCATGGTCCACGAAACGAAGGAGAGGCGCCGAGGAGTTCGTGGTCCACAACAAAAGGAAAGGCAACGTGTTGATAAATTAGGCAAAGTCGGGTCGCGGGGCGAGCGACTATAACTCGAGGGCAAAGATGCAATCGTCGTCGACGCCGACGGGGCTTGCACACGTCCACATGTCGTCGTCGTCGTCGACGACGAGTTTTCGTCCAATGTGCATGTCTCGCGCGTCCATTTCGTCAAGCGAGTGCGTTCGGCGTCGGTTCCAGTCGATTTCAATCGGTTGACTGCACCCGGATCGGTGGACAGGCTCGACAGGACGGCACGCAGCATGCGACGACACAAACGACTCGCCCGACTTGTAGAGCGTCTGTTTCACAAGCATCTTGAACGCTTCGCCAAACGAAGGCGACGCAAACGACGTCCGTATCCGCGCAGGCAGCGGCGCGACGGACGCGGCAAGGGCGAAGTGGGGCATGTTTTGGCTTGCTCGGCGCGTGGCAAATTGGCAACTGGTGTCATCCGCCGTGGGATTTTCAGCGTGGGACGCCAAGATTCCACCAGTTGCAACGGGGCATTCCGTCGTGACAAAAACGGGGGTGGACGTACCGTACCGTGTGGCGTGGTACCGTACATGCGCGCGCGTGCGGGCGTAAGTGCCTGGCTGCAGCATCTCTCGGCACGCTGGCGGCGTGCGCGGCGCCGGACCGGAGCGCGTCGTTGGACAATGCACGTCGGCCACTGCACCGACGGGGCTACTCGCAACTGAGGCGAGAACTTCGCGTGGGCGAGTCACACCACGTTCTCTCTCTCTCTCGTGTGCTACTACTTGCAGTGTGGCGGACCAGAAACACCATGAACGCCACACCACCCGACGACGGTGGGTGGTGGCGTATCTTTGCCAGGCATGACGCGGTGAAGCCACCAAGCTGACGTTGGCGTCACACGCAGATCCAGCGCCGTGCGCCACGGCAGCAGCCACCCCAGTGGCCGGACCGCGGGCTCGACACGTTCCGCGCCGGCGGCGCAGCGCCGGGTTTTGTGTGACAGACGCACGCCCCTCGTCGCAGCAACGCCTCTTTTTTGCCACACGCACCCGCTTTTGTCATCCGGATAACGGGAGCGTGCGTGCCGGCGACGAGCGGCGCCACCGGGGTATGCGAGGCGGGTGGAGGATGCGGGACGTCGATGGAAGCATCGCGGGCGCGCACGGTGCAGGGATGGGCCGCAGCCTGGACGAATGACGAGACAGACGCACGTCCGTTGCGACATCGTCCGAGGGTGCACTGGCTCCACGATTCCGCGTGCAACGGTTCGATGATTCGAACCCGTCGATCGCGGCGCGTCGTTGCCGACAGTCGATGCATGGCGCGGTGGTGGACATGACAGCAATCGATCGCGCGTCAACGGACGGGCAGGACATCGCGGTGTCTCCCGCGATGTCCAACCCACCAGACCAATGCGACTTGCGCGTGATGCGAGAGGCTAGTTGTTGGCAAGATTCGCATGAGTCGTGACGTGGTGATATCAAGGAGACGAGGCAGACGAAGAACCCGCCATGTGGACGGTTGGACAGAGCCGCAGAGGTGGCTCTGGTCCTGCGATCCCTCTCCATCTCGAGGCCGGCGGTGTCGCTCGTAGCCGGGCTAGAGTGGCAGCGGAGCACGCAGCGACATATCGCCCCCAGTTGTCCTCTGTCACGTCATCGGTTCAAATAACATTCGACAGGCCATCGACGGTCGCACACGGCGGCCGTCGCAGCGATGGAGGACCTCGCGCCGCCACCGCCGAGGGGGGCGAGCTTTAGCCAGCACCCACCCATGTCCATCTACTGGTACTTGGCGCAGTCGAAGGGCAAGGCGGCGACCTCCTCGACCTCCTCACCCGTCCTGGGCGTCTGCGCGATTGTGTTGGCCAGTCTAGGGAAGGGAGGAGGCTGTGTAAGAGGAAGTGGTCGGATGTCGCATGCAACCTGAAATGGTACTCTGTCGCCAGGGATGCAGCGAAGAGCTCTTGAGAAGCACGTGGGCGACGCGCCAGTTGGTCAGGTGGTTTACCTGAGCCAGCTCGACGGCCGAGATTGACGCACCTGGCGCGGCAGTGAGTTGAGTACATACGCGCCAGGAAGCGTCCATGGTGAACGACATGAGTGGGAACATGAATTGCGAACGAGAGCCGTGCAACACCCAAACGGGTTGCAGCCACGTTGGGATGACAGTGGCCCCGCGGGGCGTCCCTCGTACGGAGATGAATTCATGGATGGGGACATCGGAGGAGGCGAGGGCGATCGCGGCGGTCGGCGCATGGAACTGACGACCAACCAGATCTTGGTCGGGATGCCCGCGAATTCTTCCTCCGGGAATTTCGTCGCGCCCGACGAAACCTTGGCCCGACAACCACGCTTCCTTCACCGCCCGACAACAACGGCCAGGCGCTCCCGTACCCCAGCACGTCGTGGTCGAGCGGCCTCCACGAGATTCGACAAGGCTGCACGTGGATGGGCCAAAATTTTCCCGTCATGCTTTGGTGCTGAGCCCATTTCGAAAAACTGACCGCAAACGCCGCCGACGGACGCTCCCGTCGGCGTGTAGTGTTTGATTGCGAGCGCCCAAACAAGTCGTGATTTCTTGGACGAAGCTGGCCATGTCTTTGCGAGGCGGGCGCTTCAACTCGATCGAGGCAACGTGCTCCAGCAGTGCCATGCGCGCGGGGCGCCGCAGTACACACAATTTCTCGACGAAAACGTTGTGCACGTCCGGTGGGGGCTGCAACATAGACTTCACGGCCGTCGGCTCCAGCACATCGGTCATGGTGCCTTGGGCACTGTCGTAGGTCGTGTCGAGACGACTTTAGAACCCGTCGACCAGCCCCATGATCGCGTGGTCCGTCAGCATCTCGGCTGCCGCCACGTGGCGTTCTGCCCACCGAATCGCGAAATCCCCGACGATCGTGTCGGCTCGTTCCGTCCAGTCAAACGCCAGGACGTCCGCCTTGTGCTCGTCGTGGACGGCCAGGGGGTCGGTGGGGTCCATTCGCCCCACGAGGAGCATGTGTGCGAACACGAGCGATTCCATCACCATGAACGTCGTCGGGTAGCGACGGTCCATTTCGTGGACGGAGGTTGATTTGGTGTCGGGAAGGTGCCCGTCGTGATGTACGTGGTGGAGTCTTGTTTGCTGGCAATTCCTACATCGTGAGCCAGACAGTGTGGAGACCAGAGTGAGCAGCGTCCAGAACAGTAGCCAGCCATGGCCATGGCCATGCTAGTCGCTCGATCCTGCTCGTTCATCCGTGGTTCTCCATGCACGGGAACGGTTTGTTTGGGCCACAACCCAGTTTGTCGACTGTGGTGGACGCTGGATGTTCAAAGCGGACGACACCAAAGTGCGTCGACTACCTTTGACATGGAGCATCGCGTTGTCTCGATGCTCGCACGAAAACCTGGACAACTATTTGGTCCATGCATCACAACTCTGGCAAAGTACCGACACCAAACTTATCCTGCATGCTGCCATGGCGCACTCTCCTACAACGCAAACAAGCAGGTCGTGCTTACACATTCGCAACGATTTTTCCTTTCGGTGGCTCGATGTGGACATGGGGAACGGCTTGATAATTCGTGGCATGACTCTGGTGGGACATGCGGTGCTCGAGACTAATGCGATCCATGCTTGGTCCCATTGCCCAGTCCTAGCGCTGTAAAGTTCGCAGCGCTCGCATGGCAAAGCCATGGCGAGGAACCAGGCAAGGCGACTTGTCGCGCACATCTCGGGGCGGCTTCGAGGGGGGGATGCTCGAGCAGATCCGTTGACGTGTAACTGCTAGGCGTTACGTGGAAAGCTGTTGTTTTTCCAATCGGTCGATGGCGATGCAAACGTCCACCGACTTAAACGACGTTGCCGACGACTCTAGCCACGACATTGTGCTCAGTCGCGAAGACTACGACCTCCTTCATGTACTTGCTTTCGAGACGAGGCACGCTGAACCACCGCCGCGATGGTAGGCCTTTCACCGGTTGATTCCACTCCCGGCGCTGTCGTCTGGCATCACACGGATCGTGTGCGAAGAAGACCTCCAAGTCCCAGACGACGACGATGCTGCCAGTGCTGTGCGTCCGCCCATTGAACAGTCGGACGGCTTGACCAGTGGTGTGTTATGTTAGCCGGTCACGACCAAGCGAAAGTCGCATGTTGAGACTGTGCGGCAGCTGCGGGCATCCGACCCGACACCGTCTTCCCCCGTACGCACTCGTCCTCCTCCTCCTCTCGAAATTTGACCCCTTACGATCATTCGGCAGGGACATCTCAAGCCGCGATTTGTTGTCAATCTTGCCAAAGCCAGCCCTCGGCAAGCCGAGCTGCGGCCAGAGAGCTCCTAGCCTCCTTTCACGCGCGTGTGTTGCGAAGCAGGCCACCTGTGCCATAACACAAAGTCGTATTCCGCGTGCATCGGAGCCGTTTTCACGACAGACACCATCCTTGGCACCGACAGACGACTCTTTCCAGCGTCGACGCTTCTTGGGGCTAGTTCCGTCGAGCTCATGCAGCCAGCTCCCTTGACGTTGAAAACGATGAAAACGTTGTCGAGTGCTCTCAAGCAGGACCGGGTCAAAAGCCATCCCGACGTCTCGTTTTATCGATGTGGCCATGCAACTGGGATCGAGTGCGTGGCTAACGCTGGCAGGGAGAGTTGCGTATCTCGCGCGATGGAGAACAGGTCATGCCAAGACTTGTTGGAGCCCATCATGCTACGATCGGAGTGGCATAGGGATGGACTCGACGCGATGTGGGCCGCTCAATGTTTGGCCAACATCGTTGCTCATTGTCGAAGGAAAATCGTTCTTAGCGGTATGCGGGTTCAAGAGCAGAAGGAGTGCGGCACGAGGCGGCTGTGTCAACGAAGCAACCCCTCGTGTGAGGTTGACGTGCTTCATGTCATGCCAGCTCTGTCTCGCAACACGGTATCCCCCTTCGGATGCTTAAGGTACCGCTCTAGAGCTCGTCCGAACGTCCAGCTTGCGCACGCATGGCGAGAACGTGAGCTTCATGCGCTGCAATGACGGTGGGAGACGGCTTCAAGTGGAGGGCCAGGTACGCATCGAGGGACGGTTGGTCCCAAGAAACGACGCTACATCGTTATCGTGAGCGCGGCCGTTGTGGGTGGTGCTTCAAGCACGTACATGACAGAGTCCTGCAATTCCTCGTTTTCGTCGTACATGAGGAGAGTTGGCAAGTTGCCGCGCTTGTACTGTTCCCGCGACACATGAGATGAACCGTCCATGGGGGAGAAAAGTGAGCCGTACCTGGACAGAGAAGCCGGGCGTAGCATCCTTGTGCGCATCGATGAAGTTTACGATTGCAGGATGCCGACGAAGAGATCACGAGCACACTTGAATCTTCAGTTGGGGGAATGTCGCAGCCGGGACGCAGCAACCGAGGCATGCGGCTCGCGAAGCGTTGTCGACGTCGTGGCATTCCTTGCAAGTCGGTGCATTTCCATATCCCAACGTCGCGCAATCGTTGGAGGCGGCAACCGCCGCTGCCATCATCCACGCCGCTCGCATGATCTCGTCAAGTGAGGTTCGACCATCCTTCAACGCTATACAATTGGTTCATATGTTTATCATTACAACCAATCATGGCCTTCCAATGTGGATTCATGGGTATACTTTTCGAAGGAATATTGTCCAATCAAATGCATTCTCCAACGAAATCATGGAATTGGATTGGATAAAATGCACGTTTTGAACCAATCGCGAACGGGAGTCAACGAGCGTCGGCCAATCCGAGTCGATCTCATCATCCGGATAATAAAACCCGGGTGGTAAAATCGTCGTCCAGGATGGCAATCTGCATTGGTCGTTGTTGACGAAGGCGACATGGGCGGCAAGAAACCGATGAACGTGCAGCACAACCGAGGCACGTGGAGCCACTTTCCATCGCATCACCATGCGACTGCATCTCCGATGGCCCACGATAGCTACGCGCTCTCCAATACCGGCGGTGGCATGCTGGGCCACTCGACAGGCCTCGCGTATGACGTCGGTCTCCTCGACTTGGGGCCGCACCCATCGCCATCTGTCGGTACGCGCAATGCTCTTCATGGCCCTTCCTTTCTCGATGCAAGCGAATACACGGATCTGACGGGACCATTCCAGGCGGCGCGTTGCATGGCGTTCCAGGCGGTGCGTTGCATGGCGCGATTGGGTCGACGCGGTCGTCGTCGGCGTTTTACGCGGTGTGCCGCGTCCATCGTTACTCGGCTCATGGTGATGCTGTAGGAGGAACATGACACACAGGATATTGACATGAAGGTCATGGAACTGGTCGATGTCATCGGAATGCGCATGCGACGTCAACTAAAGCCAATGGTACTCGCCGGCGCTTGTTGTCCGCAGTACTTGACGATTGCCTTAGGTGCAAGCCACGTCGGCGGGCAGATGCTCATGCAGCGACGACGTTGCTGCGCTTCAGTCGACTGTTGCCGCCATGCAGCAGCAGATCCAGCAGCTATTGCAGGAACGCGACAAGCCGGCCACTCCCGCCGTCGACCAAGCCGCGTCCCCCACCGTCAGCGCGCTGTCCGACCGTGTGTCCACGTTGGAAGGGCGGCAATCAGCGTTTCAGTCGCAAATGGCGCAGCTGTGCAAATCTCTCGGCACAGTTCCCAGTACGATGTCATTATGACAACATTGGCATGATGTGCATGCACAACGTAGCGGGCAAGAATGCGGCGGGGAAGCCAGGCGGCATTGCATTGCCCAAGCCGCTGCTTCAAGAGCTGCGCGATGAATTTGACCAAAAGCTGGCGGCGGCCACAGTCAAGCTCGAGACGGCCATGAACAAACAGATGAGCAGCGCCATGTCGAGCATGGAGCAGCACATTTTGAACGACATTGGAGGTTGCGCAAAACAACCTGATGGCGGCGTCTCTCACACTGCTGCCACACTAGGTCGATTCAAATCCATGACAGCGATGCAATACGATGACATCCTGAGCCTTGTCGCGAGTGAGACCGACATGGGCGTTCAAAACACCAAGCAGTGGTTCGAAGACCGATGTGCCCAAGAAGCCAAGCACCGAATGGGCTTGGAAGCGCGGATGATGGGGCAATTTGATGCGCATGCGGAATGGCTTCAGCAGCTCGAGGGGCTGTGCGGCTCGTGGCATGCGAGCCAGACACAAGTGGAGTCGCTAGCGGTAAGACTCGACCGCGATTTTCTCCAGATGGGTCTCTCATGGCGAATGCAGACACAAGTCGCCCAACTTCAGAAGAAAGCGGCATCGACTAACACGGCAACGTCACCGGGGAACCATGCACAGGCCTTATCAACGGATAGTAAGCGCCCAGAGAGTGGCAATCGGCAAGCTGAAAAGACGAGTAGGAATGTTGCACCAGATACAGACGCAGATGAAGCACGTGATGCAAGACACAAAGAATGCGATCGAGAGCGTCGCCTTGATGGAAACCCGCGTGATGCAAGCGGCCGACGCGAGTGACGAGTCCAAGAAAAAGGTCGCGGGGTTACAGAAACTAGTGGAGAAGATGATGCGCGACCAGGGATCGGTTGAAAGCATGCTGCAGCAATATGTTAGGTGAGTGGGTCGACATCGGTCGTGTTTATGATGGGAAAAGGTACTTGCAGCACCATCACGCACCAAGTTGCGAGCGTCACAAGGCAATACGTGTCGGTGCGCATCCGAGACAACAACCGCCTTTTGGACGCGACCCTTCGTGCGCGAATCCCTGCATATGTTGAGAACGAGCACGAAAACTTCATGCTCGTGCGGCCGAACACCAACTCGTCGATGCAAGGATCGAACAAGGCAACTCCAGGTGGGCTGTCACGCAGCCGAGTGCGCGATTCTCATCCCTTTGCAGAACTGGACGTGGAAGAAGCTGTGGTGCTTCGGGACAGCGGCGGTCGAGACACGGCCGACGCGCTGTTGCAGAGCGTGTTGAAACTGGAAATCGACCACACGTAACTGCAACAATGGATACCCTCTATAAATCCATACCAGATCGCCTCTAGCTCGGATGTTTTGATAACCTCTTTAAATATATACCTTGTACAAGTTAGTATTGTATGAACCTCTCATTTAATATACACCGCAGCCTTCGAGGGTGTGATTGCCACAACGCGAGCGAGATGAACGCGTTCGAGTTCTTGGGGTCGCTTCCTGGCGGCAGCGTGGATCGATTGTACCAGGATGCGTGGGCTTGTCAAGCTGTCTTCCAGAGCTTGAGCCCCCTGGCCCAGCAGATCGTGATGCGGCTCCTGTTTTCGAACCATGCAACGTACGCCCACGACGCCATTCTCCATTGGGTCCAAGACGCAGCCCAGGACAAAATGACCGCGGCGATTGAGAAGGTGCATGCGTTCGGATGATCTCATGGCTTTGTGATGCGCCATTGATCGTGCATGCGTTAGCTGCGACATCTGCGAGTCCTACGCGTTGTTCAGGGCAGCCTCGACTACGTCTTGAATCCCGTTTTCCAAGAGCAGCTAAAGGTACATTCGTCCTGCTTCTCTCATGCCGAGCATCAAATTCTGCACCCATGACGTATATTTCGTGCAGAAAGCGCTGAGTTCGCTGGGTGGGAGTCCATGGGAGGCAGGACGCAGCAAACTGCCGGCAGAGAAACCCATTCCCGCGGTTGAACTCGAGCTGTATGCACGAAAGCGATGGGATTCCGTGTTGCATTTCATGGTGCGTCCTTGATATATGTCTGACCCGCCCTTACCAGCACATTCTAAGGTTGGATCGACAGCCGTGGCGGCGCCTCCCGCGACGGTGATTGGAATTTTAGAGCACACAAAACTGATGCAGCCGTCCAAGTCGGACTCTCGAGCGCTCCACATCACCGACACGGGTGCAAAGTTGCATTCGATCGTCGCTAATGGGCTCACGCTCGTGCGCAGGATACGAGTTTATGCTCAAGGACATCCATGCCCAGACATGGATTTTCGTTCTCGAGTACATGAAAGACATTGATCGCAAGGGCATCTTGCCGGCGGACGAGATGCTCCAGTTTTTGTTTCAAATGAGGCAAGTTCGACGTCGTGCGGTGCCGCGCGTATCGATTGTCGTCGTAGCTACTGCCGCATGAACGAGTACTACGCCGTGGCCGACTTGACGAGGAACCAGCAGCAGTTGCTCGGCGATCTGGTCGAGCTTGGGCTCCTCTATCGTCGAGGAGCGAAAGCGACAAGGTGATGTCGCAGGGATCGGATCGCGCGGCTCACGTGAAGCCGAGTAGATTCTACACGACGAGCCTTGCCGTCAACCTGATCTTCGGAGGCATGCTGGGCCAGACGCGCGCCAACATGACCATGTCCCAGGGCCTGGACCACATCACCAACTACGCCGCCGACCCGTCCAAGTCGAGACTGCCGAGTGCTAGCCCAGCTCGCGCAGACTCGAGTTTGCTGATTGTGGTCGAGACCAACTTCAAGGTGTACGCATACACGCAGTCGTCGCTGCACATTGCGATGCTCAGTGTGTTTGTCGACATTGTGGTACTGGCGGCGGACGACGTGGGATGTGTGATGCAAGGTATCGTAGGCGCGGCTCCCGAATCTGGCCGTGGGGTTTTTGACGCGAGAAAGCATCCGGTCGGCGCTCTCGAATGGGATCTCGGCCGAACAGATCTACGACTTCCTCATGCAGCACGCCCATCCCAAGATGCTCGGCAACTCGCCCGTGATCCCAGAGAACATTGCCGATCAATTGTATCTGTGGCAGCGCGAGCGCAACCGCATCAAGTTTGAGCCAGGCGAGCTTGTCGACGTCGCGAACGAGGTATGATATCGACCAAGACGGGCGACGCTTTTGCTCGGGGTAGGATTTCGACGCGGTCGTCAAGCACGCAGAAGACATGGGCGTTCTTCTTTGGCACGATGCCATGCACTTGCGCCTGGTTGTGACCAAAGCCGGCGGCGACGCTGTTCGTGCATTTATACGAAATCAATGAAAGCGGTGAAAGTGCCAACTCTGGCCAAGGTCGACGGAAGTCCTGCTCACAACGCAGCGGCCCGTAGAGCTATTGGGTTTCGCCGTCAAACATGGAGGCCAGTGCACCGTCCCAAAGGACATCGTTGTCGTCGGTGAAAACGTTGAGCACGTCGTGGCGAAGCGCGAGGGGAGATGGATCGTTGGTCTCGAGCAGGGCCTTGACTTGAGGCGTCAATGCATTGGTGGCGCATCTACTTCAAAGTGAGGCAAAATGACCACGACTTGGTACCGAAGACGATCGGCAGCGGACAGCGCCGGCCAGCCAACAGACGAGCTGGCCGCGGCGTCGTTGTACTGGCCCAGCAGCCAACGCACACAATTGGCATGACCACATAACTAGTCATGACGTGGATAAGCTCGAGGTCCACTGGTCTGGCACAACACTGGCGTAGTAGAGTGGCAGGTTTCCAAACGCGTCCACGTCGTGCCACGCAGCTGGATTCATCTGGACCGCTGCGATAGCTGCATCGAGGTTCCCCGTCTTGCAAGCTGCATGCATGCTATGCCGTGGGACGTCCTTGCAGAGAACGGATGGAGCAAAGTAGTCGATCAGGTGCCGGACATCGTGGACGTCCTGCCGCATGCACACGGCTTAACCAAATGAATGCGCATGGTCGTTACCGCAGGGGCATGGTATTCGCATCCAAGGGCGTGCAGCGCTTCACGAACTTGGTCGAGAGTGCACGACGACGGCAGGATGCAGTACTGTCGGAGGACTTCTGCGACGGCTGCAGTTGAAATGGCCAAACTCGCATCACCAAACGCCAGGGCCAGCTGCGTCGTGAGCGAAACGTGTGCATGTTGGTTGTGCCATCGTATCAGCGCGCGCCGGCGGTGGTTGGCATGCGCTGACGCACCTGCCCCCATGACATGGAGTTGGCACTTGCGTGTAATGGGCAAGCGCTCTGCACACGCTAAAAATACCGTTGACCCACCATAAGTCGTCGGCGCAACACATCGACGAATGTGTCATGTATATACATATTTGAACGAATTTGCTGGCTCAACTTTGCTAGGCTTGCATCCACGATGGCATGTTCGGGTTCTTGGGCGAAGTCGGTGATGGGGGCTTTGCCTGCAGTTTGGTTTCAAAAGGTGAAGTCGGGGGTGGGGCTGGTGCCGCGGATGTTTGGGATATCGCAACCGACTTGAGGTTGATCTCCTGGGCCAAGTTGCCATTCAGGTCGCTGCTGCAATAGTCACGGGTTTGAGATGACTTACGCGCTGGGAGAGGGGCACCAAAGCAGCCTTTGACCCGCTGTCCGTTCGCTTCTCGGTTCTCGCGGGCGCTTGTGGTGGTTGTGGGGCTGTGTTGTTGCCAAAGACCACGATGGACACGAGTTGGAACACGGCAATTACGAGCAGTCCGACGCCTTCGGCGATGAGAAGGCTGTACGTGGTGCATCCAGTGCACGACGACCGAGTGCGCCCCATGAGGATTGTCATGATGCCTGCATGACCACATGAGATGGAGGGCTGATATCTGGCATGGTAAGTGTACCAGACACAGCGTAGAGAATCGAGCGGCCGAAGCGGTAGCGCAAGAATCCGAAGAAGTAGAAAAACAGCTCCCACTTGTACTCGCCAAGAAAGAGCAGGGCGCCAAACGTGACACCGAGAAACAAGAGGCACCCATCGCTAGTCGTCGACTCGACTTGCTCAAAGCTGCTCACGCGCGACTGGCTGAGCTGTTGAAAGCCAAGTACGGCCAGCAGAACCAGGCAGAACGAGATCACGAGCGACAGGTAGTGAACGAGTTTCTTGAAGAATGCGAAGGCCCCCAGCTCAGCGGTCGCAGACGATTCCATGGGAGCGTAAGAAGGAAGGGACCACGATGGAAGCGCCGTGGTTCTGAAATGGGCGGTGGCGGCGGCACTTGCGACGCACCTCGACGATTTGGGAGTTGTCGGCGCAACATAACGCCGTTGACTCGATGAAACCGGCGGAATCGTATCCGGATATATCCAAGTCGACCAATCAAATAGTATATCCGGTTAATGCGAATCGAGCCAATCAAACGATGACTTGTGGTATACAAAACCCAAGAGAAAGCGACGGCATTTTCGCGAGATGGCCATGGGAAGTAGTCTTCGTGTGGTCGATGGAAGGAAGAAGGCGCCGCATGTGTGTGTGTACGACCCATACCTCATGGAGTACTTGAAAAACAGCGGCGACATGGAGTACCTGCGTCGGCTTGTCCCGCAGTTGGAGGTAGACACGGCAGGGTCTTTGTCAACTGACGACAGTGTGCAGGGACACTCGACTCCAACGATTGTATTTGCATCGTCCAGGTTTCCGCTCTACATGAGTTGGGTCTATAGAGTAACTCGATTCACGAATGCCGTCGTATCGCTCGTCACGGCAAATGCGTATATCTCGACGTTGGGCGGTATGTTTGCCTCGATCGAGGTCTTTCTCCCTCATGCACATGGTAGGCGGGTATTTTCTGTGTCGGCATTTAAACCAAGCAAAACTCATGGCACAGCTCCAAATATGCGTGTCCCAAGGCCTACAGGACCCCATCTTGACGAGGCTCGTTGCCGAATTCTCCTCTGGACGCACTCACTCCACTCTTGCCAGTGTAGCAAATGCCGGATCAACCTTGCGTATGGAGCCATGGCACAAGGCAAGTTCAAGCGCGCGCAGCGGATCATTACGGACGAGACAAAGCGCGCACATATTCTCCGAAGCGAAGAAATGCACAGCGTTTGCCACGCAGCACAAGTATACCTGGACAAGACGTGGGATCTCCACCAGTCCATTCTCGTGCATGAGCCCACCGACACGACGAGAGTCGTGGACGAGTACTACCGACAGCGCGTTGTCAGGAAATCGAGATAAAATGGAATGTGCTTTGAGATTTGTCATGACGTAGCACGACGCAAGTGCCGTAAATGTCGCGTCCACGCAAGCAGGACCTGGACTTCCTGCAAGATGGCATCCAGCGATGCGCCGCGCTTTTTCATGGATCGGAGGTGATTGCATTTGGCTTCAATCCACGTCTCCACAATATGAGGAGGCTGGGTGATGGCACCATCGCCGCAGACAAACATCATCTACTCCATGCATGGATGAGACGTCGTCGTTGCCGTGAAATGACACACCCACCGTGTAGTCGGGTACGACAGGTAGTGCATCGTGCCAATGCTATTGGGTGGTGGGCTCATCCGTACTGCTGGCGGCGTCGGATACATGCTGCCAGCTTCCTATGGACGCGTTACTTCTGCTTCCTGGGGATTGCCGCATCCGATCCGCCGCCGGCGTCGACGAGGCCGCGTGGTCATTGCTGCGCATCTTGCGATCTTGTGGATCGACTGTATAAATTAATATCCGCTATGAATTGATTTCCCACGTTGTTCAGCATGGTGCACAATCGCCTTCGCTTCGTTCTTCCCCTCTATAAATAAAAACCTTTTGACAAAGCAAGTGTCGGTGTCGCGAGCCCTGGCACTTGTGGTTTCGGTAACCCTCTATATTTTGATATCCTGGTCCCGGCGCGTTTTTCTCACGCAGCACTCGACCCACGTGCAGTCGCTGCTGTTGCCAACCCACTCCGCTGCATGAATTGCAAGGCGCGTCCATGCCAGCATAGCCACGTGCGTTTGCCGTCGCACCCGATACAGGGACTACGCAGTTTCTGGGAACGAATTCTTGCACCAATGCGTCTGAACCATGGATGAGACACCAAGGCAAAATAGTCTTGATGATTGTATCGAGGGGAAATGGACCAATAGGACCACTCGCCAGGAGGGACGCCAAACGCCTCCGCCGGTACATCAGGACGGAAGACATGAACATGGGTGACAAAAACACGCGCGCGCCGATCCGCAGGACCACCAGACTCGCAAGACGTGGAGAATGCCCATTGCCGCGCCTGCCGCCGACGACGCATGGAGGCGGAAGGACGAGAGCGGCAGTGAACGGCCGGATCTTGCGAGGAAAAGTAGTGATGGGAGTGCAAGCGAAGAAACGTCGGACGACACGATCGCGCTGCCGCGACTCCGGTCAAATCCGATGACGTCGTCGCACACGTCATACCGATTACCACCGTTGACAGACCTTACACATCATCCAAGTCTAAGCAGGCCGGCGGCGCCAACGTCGCCCTTCGTCGGCAAGATAAAGTCACGGAAGCGCAAAATGAGCATGCAAGACGTCATGTCGAGCAATAGTCCTCCGTCATTACATCGCCATGCTCCGCCTCCACTCGATCAACTTGAACTCGTGCCGTCCACGTCCCTGCTTCTCTCGACAACAACCCCCCCAACGCATTCGTTGACACCGTACGATTCCTCTGCCAATGTGCTTCCGACCCCACATGCCATGATAGAGCTACGCCGTCCACGTCGTTGCATCCTCAACGCACAAAGGGACGATCGAAGCGATGCGGGCGACAGCCACACGCCGCCGCGGCGCCACCGCCTCCGCGAACGGCCTCTAGCATTGCGCGATTGACGACAGGAAAGGACGTTTGTGTCGTGGCGCATCAAGGCATTGTCGACTGGGTTGCAACGTATTATGTGTACGGATTCGACAAGAACAGCCTCTTCCACCTCATGCTGCCCCTTCGACCGCAGCAAGAGCCATGGAGCGATGCTGAAGTCGCCTATTTAACGATCCTCGCCAAGCTGTTGCAGGTACGTCCACCCGACCATCCCATCTTCGTTCGATCGCACACTGTTTTGTAGCAAGGAAAGATGCGACTGCCCCGCGGCAAGTCGATGGAAGCGTACGTGGCCGAGAAACTGCATGCGCCAGAGCCTCGAATCCGCTTTCGGTTGCAGCAACTGGAATTCAATGGCAACGCACAAGGGCCCGAAGGCGACACCCAGCAGCAAAAGCCACATCGTCCGGCGGCGAAAAATGTCATGTCTCCAGCCGAAGTCGCCGAGCTCAAGGAGGTGCGTGAAGCCGCCTCGGGGACGTAAACTTCATCGTCGAGGCCGTTGTAGACCAAGATGCTGTTTCTCCGCACGCTCGAGTCGGCCGTCGTCGACGCCTTGCATGACAACGCGATCGACCAGTCGTGTGTAGTGTCGATCAAGTATTGAACAACATGCTACCAGCCTCTTCCTCTCGACAATGCTCAAGCGTCGGCGGCAGGCGAGACACTTGCAGTGGCACTGGCCTGCCACTAACATCGCATGAGGAATGAGGCTGGACCATGCCACGTACGAGCCAGTTGCTGAGTAGATCTGGCGCGGCGCGGACAAAGTCATTCCAGGACACGCCGCAATTCGGCTGGACCACGACCTGCGCCGACCTCGTCAACTTGAGAGTCGCATATGTGCATATGCGCACCTGGGTCTGAAGCGCGTTGAGTTGGGTGTCCGAGAGCTCGAGGTGGAGTTGGTGGCGCAGGCAGCTGCCAAACTCGTCCCAGCTCAAAAAGCCTACGCAGGTCATGTCAGCGTGTGCGCATGCGGCGTCAAGGGCAACCGCTGCCGTCTTTGTCCGCTGCTTGGAATACTTGCACCATGTCGGCTTGCATGTCGGCGGGCAAGTCCCACGTCGGCTTTTCCCACTGCGACAGCTGCGTTCGCTTGTTGTAGTAGTAGACCGCACCATCGTCGGTGGACAGCTCGCACCAGTCGGCCGCAGATGCCTCGCTCTGGCGCAGTTGCAGCTTGAGCAGCTCCGGCAGCATGGTCAAAAACTGCTGCCAGCTCACGTCGGTGCCCGATTCAAGGCCGCTCTGTGCCTTGATGGATTCAATCGCGTCGGGCGTGAGGCCGAGACTCATCTTGTTTTGAATCAAGTTCCACAGCTCGTCGTAGCTCAAGTAGCCGCTCTGGTCGACGTCGACTTCGAGGAAGATGCGCTCGGCATACCGCGCAAACAGCGGGGGGAGGCCCGTCGCCGCTTGAGGCGGTGGATAGCTTTTGGTCGACTCGGCCAAGAGCGCTCGGAGCCGCATCTACACGGGGTGACATGCCTCGCGAACGTCACCGGCACCGCCTACCACTTCCTGTTTGGCCGATTCGCCACGAGGGGTATTGACGTCGCTCGCGTCCAACGGGCGCTCGGCTTCAACCTGCAGGACACCGTTCGCCGCGCCCATTGCAGTTATCTATTTATGGCACTTGGCGCAGCCACGTCCCAGGGGGTGTTTCGGCACCGCCTTTGGCCGTCGCCGTCGTCTTTCATTGTCGAGAGCGTTTGGTTTGAACGAGCGCGGTCAATGCCGCCGCTGTCGACGTGTTCAAGAGGCCGCCCCTCCTG